TGACATTGAAGGGGCCCTTACCATTTAGCCATGCCCAGACGTACCCACGCACAATGAAAAACAAGACAAAAAAATAAATTATTCATTCATCAAGAATTAGGCCTCATTTACTGCTGATGGTTGGATTTGGAACTTGAATCATGTTACATGTATCATTCCAGTTTGTTCCTTTAATTTAATTGTTGTTGAGAAATAAGTTTGGTTTGGTAGGTGTATTTTAATTTTAATCCTCTCAATTGGGAAAGGCAAAGAAACAAAAATGAAAGAGTTCTCAAAACTCTCTGTATGGCCTTTATTGAATCAACCCCACTTGAATTTGTGAATCTCCTTTTCGCCATGTTTATCAAAAGTGTAACTTTGTTCTCCAGAGATATCAGTACAGGTTATAAATTTTAATTGGAAACTACTCATGAACCCCACTTATTTATTTATTGATTCAAAGTATAAACGAAATGAAGATGAGATGATTGTAAGTTTGTAACCAATATATAGCTCTATCTCACTGCTTAGCTGGACCCTCCAGAATTTTCAGTTTTAGCACAGAACCCATTCATCCCTTCTTCTTCATTTAGTTCTCAGTATGGTTCAATTTTTCTGTATTTATTTCAGTGTTGCTTTTTAAGAACAGGAGACTTGGTTACTTTTTAGATTTTCATATGAAAAGTTTAGTTTTTATTTTATTTAAAATAAAGCAATACTATTATGTATTAGAAAAATGAGAAAAGATAATGAAAAAATAAAGTGGGGTTAGAATTTCGAGGGGCTTAAAAATTTCTTTAAAAAAGGGTGAGGGGTGGTCCATGGCCACATTTACATGTCCCAGTAGGGATGATTCAAGAGGAGTCTTCTCTTCAATAAAGGCCAAAGTTACACTATATAACAGTTCTTTGTTGACAATATCAAAAACTTTTTAAACTTTATAAACATAAACAACTAATTATTTATTGTTTGTAAAGATTAGCTTGAGAAATCATTGTTTATGTATCTTTTCTTTCATTCTCATTAAATTAATTGACTAAGTCAAATTTTATAAAAAGAGTTTACTTCTTTTTTTTTTTATAAATATGCATGATTCATGTTAAATGAGTCTAAAAGGAATTCAAACCCACAAAATATCACATTCTTATTGTCTTTCCATTACTATGTATGTAAATCACTATAGGTTATTAATCTTGTACAATTCCTTATCGTTTTATTTGTTTAAAACTTCTAATTAGGTATGCAATATGGATAAATTTCTCAAAAGAAAATCAGCAATAGACCAATCATCCTCATCAGTCCAAGAAAGTAAAGCCAATGATAAAGAAAATGATCCATTAAAAGAAAGTCATTAGAACTAGAAGCCATCTAGAAAGATCTTCCATCTAATTCAGCTCTACGACCTAAAATCAATCATTATCATCCTAATTATAGGGATGCAATTCGAAGATTTTACTTGCGAAAGAGTTGTTGCCAGCCTCGAAATTATGCATTTCCACTAACAAAATTTGGAAAAGGATATCGTTGATTTAATCCTGCTTGGTTTGATGTGTATGGCTATTGGCTTGAGTATAGTGTGACCAAAGATGCTGCATTCTGTTTGTATTGTTATCTTTTTAGACCTTCCATTATAAGCCAAGCTAGTAGTCACACTTTCGTTAGTGAGAGATTTTGTAATTGGAAGCAACCAGAACGCTTTCAAATTCATGTTGGCCAGCCAAATAGTGCTCATAACCAAGCACGATAGAGTTGTGTGAATTTAATGAATCAAAAGCAACATATTGAAGTGGCTCTATCTAAGCAATTAGATCAAGTTAGGACTGAATATTGAACTCGCTTGACTGCATCCATTGTTTGCATTAGATTTCTTTTGCGTCAAGGGTTGGCATTTTGTGGTCATGATGAAACTAAAGACTCGAAAAACCAAGGTAACTTTCTCGGACTTCTTCATTTTCTAGCTCAGCATAATGAACATTTTAAGAGTGTTATTTTGAAGAATGCACCTAGGAATCTTAAATTGATAGCACCAGTGATTCAGAAAGATATTGTGAATGTTGCAGCAAATGAAACCACAAAAGCTATCATTAGTGACTTGGAGATGACACATTTTCAGTTTTGATTGATGAGTCTCGTGATGTGTCAATTAAAGAACAAATGGCTATTGCCATACGTTATGTAGATAAAAAGGGTCATGTACTTGAGCGATTTCTTGGCATTGTACATTTTAGTGACACAACTGCAGTATCACTTAAGATGGCTCTTGAGTCATTATTCTGTCAACATGGATTGAGTTTGTCAAGATTACGTGGACAAGGTTATGATGGGTCAAGTAATATGCAAGGAGAATTTAATGGTCTGAAAAGTTTGATTTTGAGGGAGAATGAATATGCTTATTATGTTCACTGTTTTGCTCACCAACTTTAGTTGACACTAGTAGCCGTTGCAAAAAATCACATTTCTATTGCTTTATTTTTTAGCTTGGTTACTAATCTGATAAATGTTGTTGGAGGTTCATGCAAGCGGCGAGACATGCTTCGGGAGAGCCAAATTAATAAACTTGTTCAAGCACTAGAAATTGGTGAAGTTAGCAAGGGCCGAGGTTTGAATCAAGAGACAAGTCTAAAACGAGCTGGTGATACACGTTGGGGCTCGTATTATTATACATTGATCAACTTAATCCTTTTGTTATCCTCTGTGGGCGATGTACTTGAGGTTATTGAAGAAGATGGCTTAAATCCTGAACAAAGGGTTGAAGCATGTAATCTATTAGATTTAATCTATTCCTTTGATTTTGCATTTAACTTACATATGATGAAAAGTATATTGGCAATTACTAATGAGTTGTCACAAACATTACAGAGAAAAGATCAAGACATTGTAAATGCTATGACTCTAGTCAAAGTTTCCAAACAACGGTTACAATTGTTGAGAGATGAAGGATAGGAATCTTTGTTGAGTGAAGTTTCTTCATTTTGCCAAAAGCATGATATTGCCATTTTGAATATGGATGATATGTTTGCAATTCGAGGGCGGCCACGACGGAGAGTTGAGCACATGACAAATTTGTATCACTATCGAGTTGAATTGTTTTATATTGTGATAGATATGCAACTTCAAGAACTTAACACTCGTTTCACTGAGGTTAGTACTAGGCTGCTTCTTTGTATGACATGTTTAGATCCAAGTAATTCATTCTCTGCTTTTGACAAACATAAGTTGATTCGTTTTGCCCAGTTTTATCCATCTGATTTTTCTACATTTGAGTTGATGATACTTGAGAACTAGACTGAGACTTATGTTATTGACATGCATTCTTGTGATGAATTTGCTAAGTTACAAGGAATTGGTGATTTAGCTAAGAATTTAGTTTGATTTAAAAAAGACATTTTGTATCCATTGGTGTATAAGCTTGTGAAAGTTGCATTGATTTTACCAGTTACGACTACGACCGTTGAAAGGGCTTTTTTTGCAATGAATATTGTGAAAAGTCGGTTACGCAATCGAATGGGAGATCAATGGATGAATGATTGTTTGGTCACCTATATTGAGAAAGATGTATTTGATACAATTGACGATGAGATGATTATCCAACGTTTTCAAAATATGAAAACTTGTCAAGGACAATTGTAAAAAAAAAATTGTGTTTTTTGAATATATGTATTTGTATTTTGTAACTTTTTGTTGAAATTCATCCTAATAAAAAAAAAGTATAGTTATGATTGGTTTAAATTTTTTTTGTCTATTTTTTGCCCCCATCGAGTGAAATTCCTAAATTCGCCACTGGTGATTATATATTTTTAAATTAATATAAATACAAAATTTCTCTAAATATAACATATAATGTATTTTTATAATAATTATTAATAATAAATCAAAATTACCATAATTTATAAATATTAAAATTAAATATTTTTACAAAGCACACGGGCAAACCTATGGCACAACATGATATATAGAGGACCGTGCTGTGGACCTTCAAATTTGGTGGGCCGGCATAGACACGGTATGATAGGGCATGATTTTTTGCGGGCCTTGGCATGGCACAACACGGCTTACGATACGATGGCTCACGATACGATGAATCTTGAATTTTTAGACACAACAGATACGGCATGACCGACCGCCAGCTCTATGTTGAAGTGATCTTTTGTTTTGTTTTCATTATTTATTTGTTTAAGTAATTGCATGAATGATGAATGATTATTTATGTACTAATATTCGTTTCCCAACTTCAACTGTGCCGCAGGGAAACAATTCCAGAAGGAAAAAACATTTATTACTCTTAGTTTTCAAGAGATTTACAAAGAAAAAAATACGTTCGAGATTAATAGCATTAGAATAAAATCACATTATACAAACAAACATGATATTTATGTGGTTTGACATAATCCATCTATATCCACAAATAAGAGAAATTCATTATAGTCTCATGAATACCATGACCCTGATACATAATTAACAAAGTAGAAACAATTTCAGTTTCTAACTGCGCTCAACTCACGGTATTTAATAACCCTTACATCAAATACTTTATGTTCTCATATTCTTTCGTAACCTTGAATTGGTTCTCACATTTATAGGTAGTATACATTTAATTTTCGCCGGTATCTTATACCCAACTCCTAAATCACAACACCAAGTTCTTTCTCTCATAAATTTCTGTTTATGCTGTGGTTTTATCAGTTGTTTGTAAAAATTGGAGGGAACTTAACAGATCATTACACACGTAAAACATTCTGTTTAGTTTCCTCCAATATCTTATCTCCAACTTCTAAACTAGAACTCTGCTTCCTTCAAAACATTCTGGGTATTTTATTTCACTTTGTTATTTCTGAGTTAGAACTGTGGTTAATATACATTAAATGTTTCAGAAATGGTAAATTGTTCCACAAGTTGAAAATTTTGAGAATAGCAGAGGCAAAATAAACATTGGCTCGGCTAAAATCCAACCCTAACATAAAGGAAAATGATAAAACCCAAATGTAAGAAAGAAGAGGTAGAGCATGCAGCAAAGAATTGTCTGGAGTAAAATCAGCCTGAACTTGTAATAATTCAAGAACAACAGTCAAACTTACAAATGGAGGAGAAATTACAAACCCAGGTGAAAGGCCCTGACAAGGTGAAAAAACAACACAGTTTTTTTTTTCAAGCAAGGTACCGATATAATTTCCTATCCGCTTTATCCCTCTCTAGGAACTCCCTCTCGATAAGGGACTCTATTCGCTTTTTAATTACAACAGGATTTGGCAGAAACCGGGACTGCAGCTGCTTTGTAACCTCAGTGACAATGTTATTGTGATCCAACACCCGTCTTGCCTTCATGATCCTAACAACTGCTGCCTCAATCTGGGGTTTCCTATCTTCTTCCACTCTTTGCCTTGTTTCCTGATTTTCTGGTTCAGTCTCCCTTTGTGTAACCACAGTGCCTATCTTAACCTTTACAAACTTGCTTGTGAACTTGTCATTGAAGAAGAAGGCATCATCCTCGGCTATGTCCTTGCTCATGGGTTCCTTCCGTAGAACGTTTTTCCCCTTAACACAGGCCAGAGACTGTAGACACCTCTTCAAGTCTGAGGCAGGTATTTCTGTGGCCTGCTCAATTTCTTTGTAACTCAACTGATCAGCATTATTGAACAGCATCAGCACACACATCTGGTAAGTGGAAACATTCAACTCATGCTTCTGTCCTTTCCCGAAGGTTGCTTTCAAATCACAAAGTTACACTATATAACAGTTCTTTGTTGACAATATCAAAAACTTTTTAAACTTTATAAACATAAACAACTAATTATTTATTGTTTGTAAAGATTAGCTTGAGAAATCATTGTTTATGTATCTTTTCTTTCATCCTCATTAAATTACTTGACTAAATCAAATTTTATAAAAAGAGTTTACTTCTTTTTTTTTTTATAAATATGCATGATTCATGTTAAATGAGTCTAAAAGGAATTCAAACCCACAAAATATCACATTCTTATTGTCTTTCCATTACTATGTATGTAAATCACTATAGGTTATTAATCTTGTACAATTCCTTATCGTTTTATTTGTTTAAAACTTCTAATTAGGTATGCAATATGGATAAATTTCTCAAAAGAAAATCAGCAATAGACCAATCATCCTCATCAGTCCAAGAAAGTAAAGCCAATGATAAAGAAAATGATCCATTAAAAGAAAGTCATGTAGAACTAGAAGCCAGCTTGAAAGATCTTCCATCTGATCCAACTCTACAGCCTAAAATCAATCATTATCATCCTAATTATAGGGATGCAATTCGAAGATTTTACTTGCGAAAGAGTTGTTGCCAGCCTCGAAATTATGCATTTCCACTAACAAAATTTGGAAAAGGATATCGTTGATTTAATCCTGCTTGGTTTGATGTGTATGGCTATTGGCTTGAGTATAGTGTGACCAAAGATGCTGCATTCTGTTTGTATTGTTATCTTTTTAGACCTTCCATTATAAGCCAAGCTAGTAGTCACACTTTCGTTAGTGAGAGATTTTGTAATTGGAAGCAACCAGAACGCTTTCAAATTCATGTTGGCCAGCCAAATAGTGCTCATAACCAAGCACGATAGAGTTGTGTGAATTTAATGAATCAAAAGCAACATATTGAAGTGGCTCTATCTAAGCAATTAGATCAAGTTAGGACTGAATATTGAACTCGCTTGACTGCATCCATTGTTTGCATTAGATTTCTTTTGCGTCAAGGGTTGGCATTTTGTGGTCATGATGAAACTAAAGACTCGAAAAACCAAGGTAACTTTCTCGGACTTCTTCATTTTCTAGCTCAGCATAATGAACATTTTAAGAGTGTTATTTTGAAGAATGCACCTAGGAATCTTAAATTGATAGCACCAGTGATTCAGAAAGATATTGTGAATGTTGCAGCAAATGAAACCACAAAAGCTATCATTAGTGACTTGGAGATGACACATTTTCAGTTTTGATTGATGAGTCTCGTGATGTGTCAATTAAAGAACAAATGGCTATTGCCATACGTTATGTAGATAAAAAGGGTCATGTACTTGAGCGATTTCTTGGCATTGTACATTTTAGTGACACAACTGCAGTATCACTTAAGATGGCTCTTGAGTCATTATTCTGTCAACATGGATTGAGTTTGTCAAGATTACGTGGACAAGGTTATGATGGGTCAAGTAATATGCAAGGAGAATTTAATGGTCTGAAAAGTTTGATTTTGAGGGAGAATGAATATGCTTATTATGTTCACTGTTTTGCTCACCAACTTCAGTTGACACTTGTAGCTGTTGCAAAAAATCACATTTCTATTGCTTCATTTTTTAGCTTGGTTACTAATCTGATAAATGTTGTTGGAGGTTCATGCAAGCGTCGAGACATGCTTCGGGAGAGCCAAATTAATAAACTTGTTCAAGCACTAGAAATTGGTGAAGTTAGCAAGGGACGAGGTTTGAATCAAGAGACAAGTCTAAAACGACCTAGTGATACACGTTGGGGCTCGTATTATTACACATTGATCAACTTAATCCTTTTGTTATCTTCTGTGGGCGATGTGCTTGAGGTTATTGAAGAAGATGGTTTAAATCCTGAACAAAGGGGTGAAGCATGTAATCTATTAGATTTAATCTATTCCTTTGATTTTGCATTTAACTTACATATGATGAAAAGTATATTGGCGATTACTAATGAGTTGTCACAAGCATTGCAGAGAAAAGATCAAGATATTGTAAATGCTATGGCTCTAGTCAAAGTTTCCAAACAACGGTTACAATTGTTGAGAGATGAAGGATGGGAATCTTTGTTGAGTGAAGTTTCTTCATTTTGCCAAAAGCATGATATTGCCATTTTGAATATGGATGATATGTTTGCAATTCGAGGGCGGCCACGACGGAGAGTTGAGCACATGACAAATTTGCATCACTATCGAGTTGAATTGTTTTATACTGTGATAGATATGCAACTTCAAGAACTTAACACTCGTTTCACTGAGGTTAGTACTGAGCTGCTTCTTTGTATGGCATGTTTAGATCCAAGTAATTCATTCTCTGCTTTTGACAAACATAAGTTGATTCGTTTTGCCCAGTTTTATCCATCTGATTTTTCTGCATTTGAGTTGATGATACTTGAGAACCAGGCTGAGACTTATGTTATTGACATGCGTTCTTGTGAGGAATTCTCTAAGTTACAAGGAATTGGTGATTTGGCTAAGAATTTAGTTTGCTTTAAAAAAGACATTTTGTATCCATTGGTGTATAAGCTTGTGAAACTTGCATTGGTTTTACCAGTTGCGACTGCGACCGTTGAAAGGGCTTTTTCTGCAATGAATATTGTGAAAAGTCGGTTACGCAATCGAATGGGAGATCAATGGATGAATGATTGTTTGGTCACCTATATTGAGAAAGATGTATTTGATACAATTGAAGATGAGATGATTATCCAACGTTTTCAGAATATGAAAACTCGTCGAGGACAATTGTAAAAAAGTTGTGTTTTTTGAATATATGTATTTGTATTTTGTAACTTTTTGTTGAAGTTCATCCTAATGAAAAAAAAAAAAAAAAAGTATAGTTATAATTAGTTCAATTTTTATTTTTTTTATTTTTTGCCCCCATCGAGTGAAATTCCTGGATCCGCCACTGATTACATTGATGATTCAACAAAGTCTATGCCGCTAAACGTGGTAGCATATGAGTCCAACCCCAATGGTCCTGACGATTTTGCAGTTTCTTCGTACATATGCCTGACGGATTCGCTTATTGATCATGAGGAAGATGTCAAGGAGCTTCGATCAAAAGGTATACTTCTGAATTTTTTGGGGAGTGATCAACAAGTTGCTGATCTTTTTAATGAGATAGCTGATAATTTGGTGTCACACCCGCATGCATATGCGGTTGTTAAAGATAGAATAGAAAAGCATTACAAAAACAGATTGAAGATTTGGTTGGCAGAGTAGTTGCATACTCATTTCACTAGCCCTTGGACGGTTCTTGCTTTTATTGGTGCATTTTTAGCACCTGTCTTGACTGCTATTCAGACTTATGAATCGGTGAAGCCAAGAATTACAATGCAAGTTATCTATGAATCAGAATACATCTCACAACAATCAGTACATAAAATGCTTCTAAATGATCTGAAATTTGGTCCATAGGAACACTCAAAAAGCAGGAAAAAAGGGAAAGATCTACCGCTCTTTTAGCCAAGAAGTCTGCAGCACGGCAACACCATTAGCTTCTTTGTAGACGCGACTGAAAGCAATTGAATGTAGCTCCTTGAAGGCTCCAATTTCCTCCACCATTCGCCATCGAAATCAGAAGCAGAGAGTCAGACTCTACTTCTAACGGTAGGAAATTTAGAGATATGGCAAATCGCAGTCCTTGATTTCTTAACTAATCTTTGTAGTAATTTTTACTAAAAGTCATATTATGCAAAATACTTTAACATTATAATGCTTATGGGGTCAAAATAAGTATAATTTTAATAAAAGGCTTTGAAAATTAAAGCCTCATACAAAACTATAAAAAGGCCACATTGGGCCCAACGTGGGTCTGTGAGTGTCTGTCTCACTAATGAGGAAGTTGGTATCATGAAATTGAATTTCTTACGATAGTTAATCAAGGATGTTATATGTCCCAATTCAAAGAATAAATTTATATTCTAATAACTCATGGGATAATTGATTTCAAATTATATCCTTAATTATAGGATAATGAAATAGGTGTATTAACTTTTGTGAATATGAACTACTGCATTTCTAGGGACGGCAAAATGCCCCACGGGATAGGGCACCGGTGGAGAAGCGCCTCTATTGGGGCGGGGATGGGGGAATTAATTTAGGGAATGGAGTGGGTTTGGGGAGCAAATTAATTTCCAATATTGAAATGGATAGGGGATGGATTTATACTCCCCACCTGGAACTCACTCTATTGACATAAAATATTTTTATATTCAAATGTAATTATTATAATAAATTGAAATTATTGTTTTTTTTTTTTTTTTTATTTCACATTTTAAAGGAATGAAATCTTAGTGATTATTGAGGAAGGAAATCAAGAAGACATTTGTAAATAAATGATATGACATACTAGAAATTATTTTACAATTTAGTTTTTTTTTTTTTTTTTTTTTTATCATTATTATTAGTTCGAAAATTTGACCACATTTTAAACACCCATAATAACAATGAATGGTTAAAGGAAATAGCATTGGTATATGTTTTTTGAGATGATAGATTTATTTCTATACCATTCTTTAATTAATGATTAAAGAAAGTTCTGATGTGACAATCACCATTAGGTGGCTTAATGATAAAAAAAAAAACAAAAAGGTCAAACATAAAATCTTGAGTTTGAATCCCATTAGGCACTCATATGTGTGATTACTAAGGAAATTTATTCGGTCATTTATTTTAGGATCCCGAAAGATTAGTTAAGCCCCTCGTCACCAAAAAAGAAAAACATAGTTCTGATATGACTATGTTCTTTGCTTTATCCCTTGCTTGAGGTAGCTACTGCCATTGGAATACCCCTGGCTCGATACTGCAACCCACTTGTTACATGCCTCTAAAAAGGGAACCTAGTTAGATATGATGATGAAGTAAAGTGTCTGTGGGAACAGTAAGGCCAGAATCATTGAGGGTTCCATAATGGAGTTTTTAAAAAGCAATCGAATCAACTGAAATTATATTTCATATGGAAATGAATTGCAGTTGGTATGGAGTTGGTCAAT